GGATGAAAGTATGGGTCACTCCTCCAGGGAATGAGCCAAGACCTGCAGAGGTGCTTGCTGATGGTGGAGGAAATACAGAATGGGTCGTAGAGGAAGGTAGTTACAAATACCAACTTAGGCCACGTGACCAGTTGCAGAAACGTGGATTATAATTGACATGAGTATTTTTGTCCTATTTGGTTAATAATAGGCTTGTGCATGTACACACATATGTTAAGCAGATACTTGAGTTATTCTTTTTTGAATATGTAATCGAGATGTGTTAAGTGGTTAAGTGTTGTGAACCTATATGATTATATTGGGTTATGAGACACTAAAGGACTAAGCATTCCTCGAAGACCTTATCACCTACTCTAAGATATATAATGCATTGGTCATTGTATGATGAGATAGTTATATCATGTTAGGTGAAATTATGACCTCAACATTGTTTTCATTTGAAAATTAAGCATGACATAGAGAGATGCTATTGTGTGTCAAGTTGACAAGGGGAAGACTTGTGATGGCTAATCCTGGGTGTCAACTTGATTTGATCTGAAATTAACTGAAACGAAAGAGAACTTCTTGATTGGATCATCTAAAGCCGAAGACACACCCTAAATGTGGGTGTTACCTTCTGATGGCAGCCGGTATAAATGACCAAGGCTTTTTGTGGCTTGCCTTCTCTCTCGCTGGTGGGTTCGTCTTGCTGCTGTAGACTGAAGACTAGCTGATATTTTGGAATTCATCAGACCTTCAGCACCGGATTGGGACTACTGAGACATCCAGCCTTGTGGACTGAGCAACTACGGATTCTCAGTCTCTCCAGTGTGGTGCAGCATTGTTGGACTACTCGGACTCTATCTTGTGAGCTAAGCTGATAAATCTCTATACATATTCATTCTACTGGTTCTGTTTCTTTGGAGAACCCTGACTAATACAGATTGTGGTACCAGGAGTGGTTCTAGGGAAACAGAATTGAAAGAATGAATTTCTTTAATGGGCTTGTTGGTATTTGGAGCAGGCTCTCCAAGTCAGAGTCTTCAGATAGCATGGAGAGTACTGAAAATCCATGGTGTAGACTATTTGAAACAATTATGGAGATAGACCCATTTGAATCTCCTAACTCACCTCTTGTGAGGAGCAAGAAATTTAGTGACTCTATACATAAAACATTTGATGATTTGTGGAAAAATAAGAAAAATAATGATGCTGGCTTGTTACTTTTAGCATCTCTGGATAAAGTAATGCAGATAAACCATGAGCTTAATGACAAAATTGACAAGCTCCATATTCGAATCAACAGTTTAAATGTTTCCAAGTGTCCCTGGAAGAGAATCTTCTCTCCAGCAGCCAAAGAGCTAAAGCTGCAGAAAATCAAGCTGGAGTCCTTCTTATACGTTTGGCTGACCTACAACATAAATTTAATTCCCAGCCTCGAAGGGTGTCAGCATTAAAGGTGAGGGCATTGGTAGGAAAAGATTGGAATCCTGACACGTGGGATGGAGATGTTTGGGAGAACTCTGAGGAGGCTGAGGATTTAGAATCCTCAGATGCTGAGGAATTTGATTCACCTGATGAACTAATTGCCCCACCCTCAGCAGACCCACCCTCTCCACCCTTGGCTGAGGCAACTAATCCCATAGAAGAAGCTAATCCCATTCAGCAAGATGAAGCTGATATCCCTCAGGGCCCAGTTATTATTGCCTCTAGGCCTATAACCAGACTCAAAGCTAAGCAGGCCCCTAGAGGAGAGATAGAAAGTGTGGTCCATGAGGAGGTGCGCTACACCACTAAAGAACTTAGTGAATTTGCTAACTCTTTCAAACAGAAATCTAATGAATATGTCTGGGAACGGATTTTAAGGGTAAGGGATAATGGTGG